CTTCTTCTGCTTACCTTAAAAAGAGGTGTTTGGGTTTTGGCATCTGGGATGAGCTCAAAGTGAATTTGGAAAGCTGCCAGGCAGTCATGCAATCCTGAAGTAGATACCAAGTGTATCTAGTGCCCTACCTGTGTGACCAAAAGGCACAGGTGGTTCTGGGTGGTCAGATCAGAGGCAAGTGCCCAAGACAGGAGCATTGCTGGGTCTGCACATTCCACTTAAAAGAGAGGAAGGTTCCTGCAATGGCAAGGATAGGAGCTCAGCTATCAATTAACTGGAAAACCAGGCTTGTTGGGTTCTCAACAATTAACTGATAATCTAAGGCACACTGCCGTTAGGGAACTTTGATATGAATTGATATTATCTAACTTCAGCATAAATCTTTTCTGGCTCCCTTTGGGAGTAGAGAAAAAAGTCACACATCTCAATTGTGCTGCTGACACAGGATGCATTTACACCCAGCTCACACACAGCCATGCCAGGCTGGGATAGCAGGCTGCATCTGACCACCTGGGCCCACTTGTCTGCTTTAGATCTAATAAAGAGAAACCTAAGGGATATGCAACCTGCCTTTATTATACCTATATACATACACACACACACTTTTTTTTATATATATATATAAAAAAATGTATATATATACACACACACACACTTAGTCATGTGGCCTTAATTCCTCTCCCTTTCCTGGTAGCTTTGCCTTCTCAGAAATGCATTTCCATCATCTTTCAGTGATCCCAAGGCACCTAAAATAGATGAGGCACACAGGACAGCCTGCAGCTTGCTCACCATCCAGCACTAGAACAGAGTGCTGGACAGTCTCCACCCCTTCAGAAGGCCAGCACCGCTTGCACAGCTGCAAAATAGAGGTTAGTGGCAGATGTTTTGGGGAGTGAATTGCTCCTGGCTAGTCAGATGGGTCTTTCTATGCTACTAGGAGTGGGAAAACATCCAGGATTCCTCTTCCTCTTGGGTTTATTTACATGAGCAAGTCTAAAAAATCTGATCTGGGCAGGCTGGTAGCCAGGAGTACATGGGCTCCAGCTTGTGCAGGGATCTGGGAAGAGGCTTGCCATAGTGGGGCTCAGTCATGGTGTGTGCAAACATGTGGGTACTCCTCTGCCACTGGTGGAGCTGCTACACTCCTGAGGGGACTTCTCCAAAGAATGTCCTTAGTGTTTCTGTGATGGTTCTGAAATAGCCATTGTCCCCAGTTAGCCCCTATAGCCAGGTCTGCTTTTCCCAGCCAGGATAGAAGCAAGCCACTTCCTAATTTAGAGGTGGGACAGTATACAGAAAAGCACAGTCATTTACAAAGACTTTAAAGCAACAGGGCCTGGCTCAGAGAGAAACTCCTGTCATGTTGGTCAAGGCACCTGCTGCCATCTCCCAGGTCTTGGCAGAACTGCTCTTTCATGCTCCCTGCTGCACTCCAGAGATCTTCCCACACGCTCTCTGCCAGGCTTGCTGCCACTGGTAGGTTTCATGGCACAGTCATGTGCACTCTGGCTTAACTCCTTTCAGATAGTCTCAGCACTAGTTCAACTACCCATCAGGGGCTTGCTTAAAACAATAGTTAAAACAGAGACTCTTAAACCAAAGCATCTGAGGTAAGTGGCTCACAAATCATTCATGTCCATGTAGTTTCCCAACCATGACTGTTCTGATTTTCTGGCCCGTTCCCCTGCCTGGCATGCTCAGACCTCTCTATGCTTTGCAGTCTCCACAGCACGAGTCTCTCTGTGCCATAATACCTTTCTTTTTCTAGATGTGCACACCGGCCAAATAATCTCCTCGTGTCTTGACTGACTGCTGACTATTTCCCAGTGTAGCCAGCATGGGCTTCTCTCTTGGCATGGGTGCATGGTGTGCCATGCCCTCCTCTCCCACACAGGCTTTGCAGTGCTTGCTATGGCTCTTCCCTCTCCTCTCACACCTTTGCTGCTGGACAATCATTCCCTTTGTCATAGATGGGCTGAGCTGGTGCTGTCCCTGCCTGCCTTTCCTTGCTGTGGTCTGTATGCTCTTTAAGTGAATGTGTTTTATTTTTTTTTCAGTAGGGAAAAAGACTTTCCTTCTGCTGAAGGAATTATATTTGCACATGGCTCAGGGAGGTACCTCCTCAGGCCGTTTCTGTTACCTCACTCATTTAGGCCAATTCCATTGCTAATGTTAAAATGGCCACCTTCCCCAACCCAAACTCTGAGACTAGTTAGGGAATAAAACCCATGTGCAGCTCAGGTTCTAGAGCCATTTGGTCGTGTCTCAGTCACGGCCCAAACCGCCCCAGCGGCACTAGGATTTGGGAAAGCGGCTGTTAGGGAATGGCAACTTTTTCCAGCAAAGAGGCAGAGCCTGGGCCACACACGTGTCTCCCACCTCCCTCGGAACAGCACGGAACAGACATGGAAGCACTAACCTGGCTCCTGGCCCGAGGAGGTCAGGGGGGAGGGAAGAGCCGCAGAACCCTCGCAGCGTTACAACCGCCCAGGAACGGCATCACGTGGCTGTGGCACCACTGGGACGTTCCCATTCTCACAGCAGTTCATCTCCCATCACATGCTCCAGGGCTGGATAAAGCTGCTAATATCCTGGAGCGTGTTCTCCCCACCTGAGGCCCTGGATTCTGCCACCCCAATTGCTGTGCGTGACTGCGGACGAGCAGGGATCTCCTCATGGCAGCAAGGAACGGGAGCGGGTCAGACAACCACCCCCAGGCACGCGCTTCCCTCTGGATTTCAGGACCAGAGCTGGAATGTTGGCCAAGGCCAATGCACATGTAGTGCTAACGTGAACTCTGGGGTGGGCTGGGGGAGGAAACGTGGTTTTGTTTTAGGAGTTGTCTAACTGTCCACCTTTGCGCTGTGCGCAAAGCGCGGTCAAACGATACTGAAACTTACCTGCTAGAACCTAGGAACTGTCAAGGCTCCGCAGCCAAAATGTCATGTAAAGTAGCTAGTACCATGGGAGTACAGTATCAATTAAAAAAATCTATCAAACAAACAGCGTGACTCGTGAGTACTTTGTTCTCTTTATTCTCCTGCCTATGCTGAAGTCTCTTCTGTCCTTTCCAAACACAGAGAGAGCCTTTCCAGGGACCAACCAGGACCGTCTCTTCTAGAACACAGCCTGTTTTTAACACCACCCTTGAAAATTCCCAATTTTTCTCAATCCCAAACAATTTGTTTTTTCTGTGAGAATCTTGAGCAAAAGGTACATACCATTTTCTCCTGTCTAGAATAACACAGGGCAATAGTCACATCTGTCTGCAGGAACTGGAAAAGTGAAAGATACGTCCCAAAGCATCATCAGAAGATGCTACATAACTATATAATGGCCTTTCTTTTCTACCTGAGGTAGCTCTCAAGTAGTTCTCTCCTTACTCCTTTTTTTTTGACTTAACATTGTGACACCAGAAGGTTGTCAGTGCTCCATGGGGACTGAGGAGCAGAGCTGAAGTGGGAGAGAGGTTACAAGACCTTACCTAAAAATTCAGCGTGGGCTTCACTGTCGTGGTCCGTGACGGAAATTGGAGTTACAATCTAGTCCCCTCCTCTGGTGCTGTGGATTTAAGAGTTAGGATTATTCTCACAATTGCCCTGAGATCAGGCAAGTTGGCCTAGGGAGCATGAAGACATCCAGCTGGATTAGAAGAGCACCTGCTTTTTCCCCTTTTGGATACTAGGTTTTAAGGAACTGGTGCCCAGACTACACGTGTGCTTCATCTGGCAAATGTGCTCGGGTTGCCAGACTCAGCTCTGGACTCGAGAACGATCCTACTGAGAAGACTGCATTGTAGTAGTTACTAAAGTTGACACACACTCTAAAAAAAAGGAATTTTGAACAACTGCCAGTTAGAAATCTGGCCCCGGCCTGACTTACAAACGGAGTAATTTCGGTGATTTTAGCAGCACATAAAAAGCAGCAGAACAAAGCAGAGGAAATTCCCCCGTGGGAAGCATGCCTTGGTTCACAAGCACCTTGGAACTATTTAGAAGCAGTCAGTGTAGCAACATTGGACAACTTGCAAGCAGTACAGGCTCCATTGCAGCAGGGATGCAACAACATCTGCTGGATGAGAAAACAAACCTCCCCCCATTTTGTCTTACAAAACAATTCTGCCCTGGCCAATGCTCCTGCCTTTTTTTTTTCTCCTCATAATCCTAGTTGTTGAGCTCAACTGATCTACATTGGAGGCCAGAGAACAGATTTTACTCTGCTTAATCCACCACAATCAAAAAGGTAAGCTCGCACAGGAAACATGGAACTTGCAGTGGATTCCCAAGCAGTCAAGGATCATTTACAATGAATGCTGATTATTCAAACCGGTGATTTCTTGTCACAAGAAACAATCATGATCAACTAGACAAAAACCAAGCGTTTTCTGTCTGTTCCTCTAGGTGGTGCTAACACTGTAGTATGAGAAGGCTGTCACAGTAACAAAAAGTACTCCCATTTTACAAAGCTGACCCTCCTTTTCCCATGAGGGCTGTGCATACTATTTACTTGGCTTGCCTCCTTTCATTAAGCCTTCCTTTCAGGGGTTTCCCCAGTAACAGGCACACTCCACACCCTGTCCACTGGCCTGCCTGTTGTGGCAGAGTGTGGCTCCACAGGTTATTCCTGTCGCTGTCTCTCAACTTGAGGAGGAAACCTGCTGTGCAGATGGGAGGAACTAAGGATTTTGACAGTTGCTTCATGAAAGGGGGACCCAGGGGATTCTTACACTGAGGTCATACAGCCTCCTAAAGTAGGAGTGCTCTTCAGTAGAAAGCATGAGCGTGGCACAGGGACTCATCCTTCCTACTCCACATTTTCAACAATTTCAATCCTGCCTGTGCATGGGCAGCCCCAAGTCCAGAGCAACTTACCGAGGAACAACTAGTTCATTCAATTCTTCCCCTTGCACACCAAAAAGCCTGCTTGGGCTGTAACGTATGTGTGAACATCACCTTAAGATGACCTCATTCCCAGTCCTGCAGGTCAGAGTAACATGGCATACAAACCCTTCACCTCTGCAATGGAGAGCTAGCATATTTAGCAAATAAAGGTGGTGGTGACAGCAGCTAAGAAATGACACTTCACATTTACGAAGCTATTAACGTGGTGATGGGATTGAAACTTGAGAAGGAGCAGTGCTGCCCACACCCTTCTGCCCTTTGCTCAGCATGCTTCAAAAGAAGAGTCCTTTAGCAAATGGGCTGGCAGCTCAGGATGGAGTCATGAGGCCAAAGTCAAGGCTGTACAGGGTCCAAGGCATATGGAAGAGAATTTACACTTCCCCATATTTCCTCCTGACAGTGCAGAGCTCCCCCTCAATCCTGGCTGGCATGACACGGTCCTTCTGTCTTCAGAGCCCCTGCAATTGAGAGAATTACTCTTGGAGTACCAGTCATTTGACATGACTGCAGTGGGGATCGTGATATAATTAGCATGATGACGGACAGGACATGAGCAAGGCTTTAAAAGATCCAGATTCTGGTCTTTTGCACACAAAAGTCCTTCCCAGCAGATGCTTCCTCTGGAGACTCCTGAGCACAGCTCCCCATTTGCTGGGAACGGTGACTATTCCCAGCTCCACAGGAATGGGCAAAGGAGGAGTAATTACACCACAGCCTGAAAGTGAACGTGTGTTGGGTAGGGCTGTAATGTTAGTGCAGTCACCACCCAAAGATACCTATACTGCTTCTAAGCTCACTGAGGGTGTTCCAGAGAAGACACACAGCCAGACTCCCAGGAGTATCCTCTTTGCCTTCTCCCCAGCTCCACACAGGCCTAACCCCCTGCAGTGAGGATGAAAGGTTGACAGACAGGAGCAGGGACTGCTTCCTCATGGCCTACCTTGGTGCTGCTCGTTCTGCTGACTCCTCCCTGCTATTCCTCCACAGGCACAGCACAGTTTTCCTTGTTTTCTGATGGAATCGCAAGATAGTCTGTGCTGTAGTGAAGGGAAGGAGGGAAGTATAACTCAAGTGCTACAGTGCAAAAAACAGTTTGGGTCCATTGACCCTTACAGAGTTGTTGAGTGCTTCTGAGTATCTCTAAGGTAACAAGTGTCACCTGTAGTAGGTGCTCGTAGTAGGAAACTCCTTGGCATAGCTGGGAGCAGACACCAAGTCTTCCCTGCTCTAAAAACCTACCTAGCATGTACAAGGAGCAGCCTTATCCAAACCAAGTATGTAGAAAGATGGGAACAGGCCAATAAAAAATTGGAACATCTCTACTGTGTCAACTGCATCCGAGCCAGGCCTCTGAGAGCAGCCCTGACAGGAGAGCTGCTCTGCACGGTTCAGACTGGGCTACTCCAGAACACCAGGCACCATGGCCACCCTCCCTGCCTGGTGCACTGTGCAAGCACCTTGTCTCTTGGCACTCCTAAACACTGCCATGATTTCAGATACAGCAAACATCAGCTAGAAAGGTGCAATTGCAACGTTCAGGCTGGCTGGCTGATCTGGGCTGGGACATCTGAAGAGCCCTCACAGAACAGCTGGTGTTGGGAGAGGTTTCATACTTACGCATTTTCCTGGGCAGCCTCCTCTGCCTTGGAGACTTTCCTGTAGCAATAGATCATTTCTATCAGTAGCCACAAGGTGAGGAAGACCAGCAGAATATACATCATAATTTCAGAGATGACCGAGGTGAAGTCTTCTCCAGCTGTTAAGAAAATGAAATAATCTTTGATCATTTACATGCAGTGGCTCCACTGATAGTTCCCACCCTCCCTAAGCCTCCTTGCCAGAGATACTCAGGTGCCACTACCCTGTAAGGGGGCAAAAGAGGGGACAGGTGAGGCTGCCAACAGGAGATGCCAGCAGTGATCCCACTGCATGTTCCCAGTGGATCAAATATGCACGTGCAAACATGTGTCCTGCACTCTTTGCCACCCACAATCACAGGGATTGCTCCCTGTCAGCCTCTCTCCTCCTCACACCCTCTTCCCTGTGTGCCCTACTCGCTGCTGTCACTTCCCTGCCTTGTGCTGCCAGTGATTTGAAAGAGATCAACACACAGCGAGGCTGGTGGGGAAGATGGGAAGGGAAGACACAGCAGATGAAGATGAGGGCTAAAAGCCCTTGTCCCTCTCTGAAGAGAACAGCAGAATTCTCACTGATTTCTAACAAGCCACGATTTCAGCACTGAACTGAGCAAAACCAAGAGCAACAGACTCGAGCACTGCAAAGGAGGAGGGACTGCGAGAGGCTGGAAGCAAGAGACTGATTTCAAAATGAAGAAGGAGTGGTTCTAAGAGGGAGGGGAACAGAAGCAAGGAAGAAGACGCTGTGGGAACCCTGGCAAGGGCTGTGCCGAGGCGTCCTACAGCCACCAGGGGAAAAGCCAGGGTAGGAGTGAAGAAACTGGAAACCCTTGTGCCTGCCCATCTGATTATACCTTCTCACATTCACACAACCACTCTGGGCCTAAAAAAGAGGCTGCAGCTGCCAAACAAAATGCAGGTCTTTCCTCCTGAACCCTGTGTAGTGCTTGTTGCTGGCAAAGACAGCCACAGTCACCGGGCAGCTCAGTCACCCCCCTCCTGCAAGGCAGTGACAAACGACCTCCCTGAGGACAGCAGCCCTGGCAAGCTAAGGCACAACACACTCTCTGCCAGTCCTTCCTACCCTCCTCCACCACCGTGAGGTGGATCACTCTGGAGCTTGTGAAGAGAGGTCTGTGAATCTCAAACTCGAACTCCCGGGTGATGTTACAGGTGTAGATACCGGAATCGTTCAGGGTGACATTTAACACAGTGATGGACACATCCTGCATGTCTTTACTCCCATTCCACTGTAACCGACCACTGAAGCGGCTGGGAAATTCATGGTTGGAGTTCTTGTGCTTGTAGATCTGTAAGGAAATGGGAAGGGATATTCTGGTTAATTTGGACACCAGCACAGCATATGCAAGGAACAGCATCATCCTCTAGCTACACACATGCATGTTCTGGGCTATGGCTTCCCTAGGAACAGCAGCTACTCATCATCTAGCATCCTTTGCCTCAAAATCTCAGACTCCTTTACAAAGGTCAGGAAACAGAATTATTCCCATCACAGACTTAGAAAAACTAAGGCACAGAAAAACAGAGACACACATGGACAACGACACAAAAGATTAACAGTGGAACTATAAGCTAGGATCCTGCAGTCTTCACACCCAGCCTGTTGGTCACTGGACTTAAGATCATCTTAAGAAAGAATCAGAGGAAACTGTCAGTTTTGGTAAGCCCTGGGTTATTCAGCAGTGTTGCAGGATAAATGTGACAGCACAAAAATGTTACATTGGAAGAATAACTTGGGTGGCTTTTACAGGCCCAAACTATTCCCTGGCTGCCCAGGGCAGTAGTGGAGCCACCATCAGTGAAAGGATTTAAAAGACACATAGATGTGGTGCTGAGGGACATGGTTTAGTGGTGGACTTGGCTGTGTTGGGTTAAAAGCTGCACTTGATCATCTTAAGGGTCTTTTCCAACCAAAACAATGATATGATTCTATGATTCTATTCAATGATATGAAAGCAGCCTGCTGGGCATTTCTGTACACTTGGAATAAGAATGTGGCCAAAAGCTTTTGTTCCTATTTGGGTCTCTCTCCTGCCCTTACAGAGTCTTCCTTGGGGATCCTGCCACAGGCCAAACTTAGACACCCATGAATACCTCTTTGCTTCTCCCACATGTGTTCACTGGACTGTGTTTCACCACAAGACTCATGAAAACACGGGCTCAGCAACCAGACATACATACAGGTTCATCTTTTCCACCCTCTGGCCTGTAGAACCATTCCACCATGGTGGTGGCTGTGACTTCCTCCCTCTTCATGCAGGAGATACAGAGGAGCTTCATGTGTGTTCCTTGGACAGCCTCTGTCTCTGATGGAACTTCCACACACACTGCAGAACAGAAACCAGCTGGGGAGAAGGAGCACCAGGGAAGAAGCAAGACAGAGAAGCATAAGACAGAATTAGAAATAAATCAGTTATCCACATCTTGGCATTTATGATCACATCAGCCCCAATGGAACACTGTTTGATCCATTACTTAGCACCTTCTGACAACAGATAAGTCTCAGATGTCAAATTTTACCAAGCTTCCTTCTCTGGGATATAAATAATTCATAATAATTAACAGTGGGTGATCACTTCATGCAAATTCACCTCTCCAGCATCTGCTTTGCCATGACTTTTAATTTTTTTTCCATAGTAATTAATGCCATTTTAGAGGCATTGTTCATTCCCTCCCATGCATGCTGAGCATGCTCCTGTTAGGGTAGCAATTACAGTCTGGTAGCAGAGAAAGCCCAGAATTCCAGCGTGGAGGAACAGCTCACTCTTTGTGCTAAGTCAAAAGGTCTGGATGCTTTAATCTGGCAATATGTTCAAAACAAACTGGGAGGATTTACCATCCTTCCTGTTTCTAGGTTTCATAAGCAGTACTGGGAAGCAAGGGGCTTGGACTCGAGTAAATTTGGCAACAGGAGGAGTTATTGATTTTACATGCAGTCCTGCTCAAAATGCTTCCAGTCAGATCTCTGCTAACACAGGGAACTATAAAACACTGCTCTCCCAAACAAGATAAAAAATAATGGTCTGTGAAGATAGATACTTGATAGGAAAAGGAATGCTTCAGCATGACGTGTCTGACTAAATCCATGTTGACATTTGTGCCCTGGGCTAAACAATCCAGGGTTCTGTTCTGTCTCCAAAGCCTGGAGTTTTGCACGCTGAAGATGCTGACTTTGCTGCCTGCTCCTTCCTCCCCAGCCTCAGAGATACCATTAACCCCACTCTCCTGAGCACCTTATTATCCTGAGACCTATCCTGGAAACAGCCAGGTTCCAGCTCTCCCATACCACCAGCTCCATGGGTAGCACCAGCTTTCTGGGAGAACTAAGGAAGAAACTGTTGGCTCATGCTTTACTCCAGTGAGATGTGCAGACAGATAGGCACCCACTCCCAGAGCTGTAGCTGTATGTGCACAGCAAATGTGGCTTTACTGGCAAAATTAACCAACCTCTTCTGGGTTGCAGAAGAAAAACTGTTCTTGCAATAAGATTCCTCGAGTCTATATGGACTGGGTGGAAAACCAGCACTGCTGAACGGCTCACACACCTGCCCTGAGGCAACTAACTGTTAAATTACATTGCAAATTTCAAGCCAGCAGCAAACAGGAAACAGCAAGGAACTCGCATGGCAGGGAAGCACACGCTTTGTGCTGGGAGCCTGCTGAGCACTAATGCATTTCATTAACTCCGTGCCATCCACACCAGGTCTGCACGAACACAATTCCCTTCTCCCCTTGCAAACGTTAAAAAGCCACTCTCAAAAGGCTGGTCTTGGTGACAGCGTTCAGGGAAGCATGCTAGGGACAGCAGGGCTTTCAACAAGCATCCTGCCGGAGGCAAACACCGCCAGAGAACCCGGCTAAAGACAAGACAGAAGGGAAGCACCTACCCCAGAGCACCAACAGGACCGAAGATGCACAGAGCAGCCTTGGCAGCGCAGCCATTGTTCGGCTCA